AGCCAATGTAAGTGGATGTGCAGGAAGCCAGAGGTCAGGACGTGCACAGAGTTGGATCTTATATAAGTGACGGGCAGGTTGAATTTACTGATAGAGCTGTGAGTTAGAAAGATTTAAGAAAAGGAAAATGGGATTATAAGGCAAAAATGTCTCATGTTTAGTTGAGCAAAATAATTCTGTATACTGACAAGTTTCTGTAAAAGTTGTCCTGGAATTAGTGTCTGATTTGTTAAAAGTATGAATGTTGCACTGATATTGTAAGTTCCGACTAATACAAGAAACCAGCCCTGCTTTCACAGATTCAGTATTTGAGATCTACGGAAACGTGGACTGGGCAAACATTCCCCACCAAAGACTCTTAAATAATAAGTTAATCAGGCCTGGTGGATCCTGCTGCTTCAGTAGTGGTGATATTAACTACCATATCTTCCAGTAATTTTAACTGGCCAGCTTGGGCTATCCCTAGAGTAATTGGAGTGAAATGCAGAATACAATGATGTGCTCGTTAGGACTGATCACAGCAGTTTGCTACATCTCTGGTTCAACTCAAAGCTTCAATAAGACGAGGCATGTGATTTAGATGTCCCAGTTGTATGACACGTTATGTACTTGTATGTGTTCCTGAATGGATGTAAGTCCATGTTTATTCTTTGTGTTGATTGTAATGATCTGTGCTTCCTACCTCCTTATTTCATGCGCAGTTGCATATTTAGTGGATAGACGGATGAGTAGTGGAGCAGGTACCTGTTTCCTGTTTCTTCATGAACTACATTGCTTGTGCGAGAGCCTATCTTTCCCTTTCTCTTGTCACTGCATGAGCTGTGCTTCTCCATTTGTAATCTTCACTTATTGTCTTGCTGCAGCTTGTAATAGCTAGTGTACATCTTTCCCACATTTATGTATCACTGTTTATTAGGCTCTAACTCAAACTAAACCCATAGCTATGTAACGTGAGTCACAAATAACTTGAGCTTTCTAAGTTGCAAAGAATTTTTTCCTTAAATAGAATGAAGTGCTAGATCTAGCTATGTATTCCATACCTAATGGATCTTGTGGAAATAAGGAATAAACCAATTGGTCATGCAGTGAATATATTAAGCAATTACTGTTAGATAAAAAAAATCACAAACCTATTTAGTGAGTAGCCTGTCTAATCATAGTTATGATGTGGCTGAGGCACCAGGGAGTAAAATATTATCACCATCATAATTATTTTTTCCTCTTGTTTTGTTCAGTGCAACAGGTCTGTTTCCACTCTGACAATGCAGTTTTCAGATGGTGTTTTAAATTTTTCTAAAATGACACAGACACCAAATGTTATTTTTAAAACCGTTTTATTTCTTTCCCATTTTCTTCATATGTATCAGAATTTTCAGGTGTCAGGTATTGGGGTTTGAAAAGCTCAAAGTCATGATGATCGTAGCATGAGTCACATGGCACTTTCATGTCCTGTGTTATTTCTTTTAATAGCCAAAAAGTGACTATCATTTCAACAATATTGACTTTATAATCATTCAACTTGTTCTATTTACAAAAGGGAGACAAATCTGTAAGTACAATAATACTGTTACTTACTTAAGCATAGGTTAATGTTTCAGGTGGAGACCCCAAGGCAAATCTGGTGTACTATTCTTTCAAACTAGGACATCAATTTGTCTGTTCTTAGTCAGGTTGGATAATCCCTGTCTATAGTTCCAACTTTTTTTTTCGCAAGGGTTTAACATTTTGGCAAGAAAATATAGGGTATGAGAGGAAACAATTTTGAAAAATAAAAACAGAAAGAGATTGTGTAGATATTTGAAAAGAGAGCTGAATGTTGGTATTATAGAAATTGAATTTAGGGAATTAATAATAAAACAAAGATTAATTGACCTGATATTTCGGTTTGATTTTTTTTTTAGTCACATGTACCTAATACAGTGAAAAGCTTGGTTTTGCGAGCAGTACAGGCAAATCGTCGCAAACAAGACATACAGATCATAGGGTGCTTAGACAGAGCAAGGCAAACAAAGTTACTGCTGCACAGGAGGTGCATGAAGCAAGATCAGCATTAGCAAGATCAACATTATTTGAAGTTAGAGAGGTCCATTCAGCAGTCTAATAACAACAGTCTTCAATGTTGTGGAACATCCCAGATATAGCTATAATTTTATTGAATTCCTCCCCTCCATTTCTTCATTTACAATCACTAGGTAAGCTGTACTGAGCAAATTGTTAGAGCTACGAGCTTATAAATCCACAAAGTACTGGTAGACTTAATCATAAGGACTTAGAAAATGAGATAATTAATATGTTGGTTTGAATGTTTAAACATTCCATGAGATTGTGGAAATAGTGAGGGGGGAAGAGACAGAAAGCAGGAAACGACAGGGCAGTTAGCTTGACATCTTGTCATTGAAGATTTTAGAAGTTATTATTAAAGACATTACACACATGGTACTTTACAGACTTTAAGTAATCTTGTGAAAAAGAAAATATGGCCAATTTATTGAAGTTCTTTGAGAGGAGTAACGAGCTACGGATAATTGGAATCTGGTAACTGTACTGTACTTAAAATTTCCAGGTGTTTGATAAGGTTACTGCAGAAAATAAGAGCTTGTGATGTCGGGGTAGCATATTGGCATGGATAGAAGATTGGCCAGGAAACAATGTAGGCATAAACAGGTCATTTTCTGGTTAGAATGAATGGCTTGCCCCAGAGAATAGTTCTGGGGTCCCAACCCTTTTTTTAAAAATAAGTGATGTGGATAAAAATGACTGAACGGTTGTTTGGTATAGACAGAAAAGCTAGTTGTGAAGAGGAAATGAAGCTACAAAGCAATATAGATATACATAGTGAATAGAAAAGAGCTGGCAAATTAAGTAATGTGAGAAAATGCAAAACTGTCCATTTTGGGCAGGAATTTTAAAAAAGCACATTATGTAAATGGTGAGAAACTGCAGAGTTTTAAAGGTACAGATGGATCTGGATGTCCTCGTGCATGAATTGCACAAGATTAGTATGCAGATAGAGCAAGCATTGAATAAAGCTAATGGAATGTTGCTGTTTTATTTCAAGGGGAATGAAATGCAAAAGTAGGGGGTATATACTTCAGTTATGCAGGGCACTGGTGAGGCCTCATCTGGAGTATTGTACACAGTATTGGTCTCCTTATTTAGGGAACAATGTAACTGTGTTTAGAAGTAGTTCAGAGAAAGTTTGCTAGACTAATGATCAGAGTAGGGATGTTATCTTATGAGTAAAGATTGGACAAGTTAGGCTTGCTTTTGCTCGAGTTTAGAAAGGGTTTTGACAAGGTGCATGCGGATTGACTATTTTCTTTCATCAGAGATTTTAGAACTAGTGGTAGTTGTGTGATCCCTTAATTTTTAACAATTAAGACAAAAATGAGATTTTTTTTTCTTGCAAATGTTTGTGGATCTTTGCTTCTGCCACAGAAGGGATTGAGAAGGTAAAGATCGATTCTTGACAAGCAAAGGGGTGTAGGGTCATCATAGGTATATGGGAACATCAATGTTGGAGCAGGCTTGAGGGGATGAGTGGTACATTCCTGCTCCTAGGTTATATGAAGCCAGGCTTTGATCCCAATTACTCTTACAATGACAGGAGGTGCTGCTCAGATTGGTTTTATTATGAATATCTGTCTGACTGCATTGCTTAAGGATCTGATTGCTCTATTTTCAATTTGCTCAAGACATTTACAACTAAATTAACTCCACATTGTAGTTATCTGTTTTGTTAAGCTGCAGTGTAATAATCTGTTGGATTGGCTCTTACTTAGACATTATTTATCTATGAAACATAAATAAACGAGCACACTTAACAATGAGGTAACATGATTCTACCGCATGTAGGCATATCTCACTACAAGCAGCTGTAGTTTAAGCCATTTGGTTTGGGTTCTCCTCAGCTGCTACAGTAAATGTGTATTTTAGCAACATTTCAGGCTGATTCGAAAGAAGCTTATCAAACACCTTATATTAGTTCTTTTATTACCAAAAAGTTTAAGATACACGTTAATACATTATCTCCAAAATAAATTGCAAAAACCAGACACAAACTTAACAGAATCATCAAAAGAAATCTTTACTCAGAAGATGGGTGGAAATAGAATTGATCAACATGAGAAGTTCAAGGCACGAGAGTATCCTGGGCTGTGTAAATTAAATCTGAGACCACACGCAGTGCACTCATTGGCTATTTTCCATATTACAGAGAAGAGCCTTTGGGTTAAAAGTTCTGGTGTTGACATATTACCCTGATAGCACAGTGGTAGAAAAATCACAGGTTCTATCATTGCAGTTCCTTATTGGTCAACGGAAAGTGCCAAGAAGTATAGCACATGCCCGAGAGGGAAGGATTTGAGGGCTCCAGGATGTCATCATGCTTGCACTTCATGGTGACTTATAATGAATGAGAGGCAAAAACATGGCAGTGGTTTACCTACTGTACACTCGCCTTACGAAATGACAAAAAAAAAACAAATTGGAGAGAGGGTAGGAAGGAAACAAATTGTATTGATGACAGGTAAGGTTTTCAGAACTGCAACTCTGATTAGAAAATGAATACTTTATGCAAATATCAGTGTGCTTGCTAAAACGTGCACATTGCAATCCTGGACTCTGGCTCTGCCTGAATCTGCACGTAAAGACTGTGAAACAGTATCATTACTCACTCGCATGACAGACCTGTGAAGCTCCATCAGAAACTAAATGCATGACATTTTCAAGTACTGCTGCAAATGGCATGTCACAGTTGTGCTTTGCCCTGTACAAACTGTAAAATGTGGTATGGGTGCGTTTAGAAAACTAGCCAATGTGTGCCTCCTAAGGTCCATTGAACAAACTCCCTCTGGCTGCCCTCATTGCCTGATGCTCAACGTAAGATTCCTGTAATGACTGTTCAATTTGGATGAAGACTTGTTAACAATAAAATGAGTTTACTTGACATACTGGATTTAACAAATCACATCACATCATGATTTGTCCCTCTTTTTCAGTGGCATCTGCCAGTATGACTCGCTTGGCTCGTTCTCGTACAGCCTCCCTGACCAGTGCCAGCTCGGTAGACGGATACCGTCCACGAATCTGCACTCAAACCAATAGTAGTGACAGTGTGAGCCAAGTGACTCAGAACATCTCACACACTATGGAGGTGTCTTGCTAAAAGGTGATGGAATATAGAAAAAAAAACCATGAGGCTGTTACTCCCTCACACAGTTCTTGGTATTACTCTTGGTGTGGAACCAGTTAAGACATAAGAGTAGAGATTGCTTCACTTCTCTGCAGTGGAGCAGTCTGTGATTTTTCTAGTCTAACAAATAAAAGGCTGTCTACAGCATTTTTTTTTTTCTTGCATGGTTGCAATCATTGTGAGTTGTCATTTGATAGTTGCCTGAGCTTCTCCAAACTGTTAGCAGGCCTTCATTTAGTCCTGTATTACTCCAGCCAATCATTGCTATGGTACGTATTAGGGACTGTGCCAATGTAATAGTATTAAGTTATTTGTTTAACTTGTGCAGTGGAAAGGCATCACAGTTTGAGCTGTTTAAATGTGGAGGCATTTCCTAGTTAATTAACTGTTCTAGATGTTCCTTATGCTTTCTGTAATAGAGGGTGCAATAGCTGCTCTATTTACTGCAGATGTAGTGCATCAGACTCCATTATTCAGTGTTTTGTAGATACTTTTATTCTCTCTCCCCCTCAACTTCAGTTTGTAAAATTATAAAATGAAGAGGTCAGAGTTTGCTGTGAGTTTCGTGTTCTGATCTTTGTGATAATCGTAGTGCTGTTGAGATACTTTTTTTGTATAGAATTTATCCTTTGTTGTGGTTGCTGTTGATCTAATACTTAACCACGGCTGTGAAAACCACTCTCACTATTAATGTACTTAATTACTATGTTTAAGAAAGTAATAAAATCAATATGGAACAAAAATCATTTCTTGGCCTTCCTTTTGATAGCAATGGGAAGAGATGACTGACTCGTGGTTTTGTCACTTTTTTTCTGCTGAAATTTTCTGTCACTCCTTTCTCCACAATTGACATTGGCTGGAATTTGTGTCGAAGGCTAACAAACTTTCCATTCTTCTGGGTGCTGAGACTCAACTGTCTGTCTTACTGTTTTCCCAGCTCATATTAGTTAATGATTTGGGGCTTGAATAGGAAATTTTCCTGGTTTATACAACTCACTTGACAAATCAAACTGCCAGTACACTTGCCATGCATGTCCTGTGTTCAATCAGAATGATTATTCATACTATCCCTCTCTGTGGTCTGATTTTCTACAGAATTGCACATGCTGTTTCCAGATCTGCAGCTGAGACATTCTGGTCTACCTCTTCATCATTTCCTTTGATTACCTCTGCCAGAAATAACAGCCAGTCATGGATAAGCTAAAGTTTCCATTAGTTGATCATTAATATAGAAAACGTCGTATTCATTAAAAAGTTTGTGATTTACAACAGCCAGTCTCCTCACCATAGAGCTTTCTAAGGCTGCTTGTGTATGTACAGAGAACACTTCCTCTTGTCTGACCAAGACAACACCTTACTTGCCCACCTTCAGCTAAACTTTACGGCTACCCCGCTCATACTGCTGCCAAAATCCTTTCTCTACTATTCCTTTACTATATGACCGTATTTTCCCTATGCCTCCTTCAATAGTCTCCATGTTCATCCTCGAAGTTTGAAATTCTGTGCTGTCCCACACTAAGTTCCATCTTTGCATCATTTAGTCGTTTACGTTTGTTCCTAATCACTAAAACATTTATTTCAAAGTACTGCTTCCATTTACCTCCTGGTTCCTCCTAACGGCTTTTCCTGTGTCCCTTGCTAAGCTCTTTGATCATTCAATAATGGCTCCCTTCATATTCTCTCTTCTCTGTTCTAATATTGATGGTAGAATTTACAACTATAAACTTACCATAACCCCCTGCACCCCACTCTCTTTCTTTCTCCCTCTCTCTCTCTGCAATTAACTACCATCACAATACTTGTATCTGCTTTTGATCGATCACCTCCTGTTAATGTAATTTATACTTAGTCATTTCCCCTAGAGCAGAAAAATAATTGGATAATCAACTCTGCATTTAACTTCATGTAGCATCCTCCCAACAACCAGAGAAAACCTTCAACTCACCTAGGCAGGACTTAGAGCTCTGATCCGTTAAGTATACAACTCAGTTAATGTCCAATTCTTCGTCAAGATCATAAAAACTGGGTATGAGTCAATTTTCTGAAGATCAATTTTTTTTTTCTCTTAACCCTCCATATATGATTGTCCATTTACTCAATTAATGGAAGACAGAACAATAGAAGGGCAAATTAATAAACTATGAATTCCAATTAAAATCACAGATGTTAGCAAACGGCCATTTAATTCAACAACATATCTTTTTTATTGCAATTTACTAAAAGGTGATATTTACAAATGCCAACAAAATTAAATACAAGTTGCCTTACTTCAGGAATAAAAGAAAGATTGCAATCATATGGCATCTTTCATAACCTCAGGTGGTCCCAAAGCATTTTACAGCCAAGGAATTAATTTCCTGAACTTGATAATGCAGAAAATATAAAAGCCAAATTTTGCTTAAGAAGATTCAATAAAGTGCTATGAACAGATAATCTACTTCTGTAATGCTGGTGGAGTGTCAATGACACCAGAGAGAACTTTTCAGTTCACTGAGATAATGTCATAGATCTTTTATGTCCATGTCCTGTCACAGTGCTACACTCCCTACCCTGAAACGTTTGCCTAGATTTTATGCTTTCAGATCAAGCCTCATGAGCTTTTTGCCTTAGAAACAAGGACGTCATCAGCTTAACCATGACTGACACTATCTTGGAAAGAATTTATTTGTAATCCTGTCACAATGATTAGATATTCAGAGTGGCAGGTAGCAAGATCAGCCATTGTTTGGAGATTAGAGTGTCTGAAACTGGGCAGGGAGTGGTGAGAATGTTGGAATATTTTGATGTTGGTTAAAGTGGTTGCATAGAGTGAACCTAGTTACAGAATATGACTAGATAGTAGATAGTCAATATAGCAGTTAAGTGCAAGATAGGAAGGATAGTTTGGGGTGGAATAGGGATAATAAAAGAGGAAATAAGTTCGAAAAAGTGAGTGCTATTGCAATATAGCAGTTGAGTTGAGGATTACAGCGTTGCAGATATGTGGGTAGTTACAGAATAATATGAAATATAGTAACTAACATTTGATATAGATAAAAATATATGCAAAACTATATTGAACATGTACAGGGTGATAGCAAAGGATACACAAAAACCACAAGTGCATATTGTGCAAGCAGAAGTTAATGCTAGTAGTACTGTATTATGGGTTTACTGTAGTGTTAAAAACTTGCATGTGGTTTAGTTTCAGTCATTGGAATTCTCCTCAGACCTGAGGAAGGGTCACCAGACCCAAAATGTTAACTCTGATTTTTCTTCACAGATGCAGCCAGACCTGCTGAGCTTTTCCAGCAACTTCAGCAAGCAGATGTGACGTCAGTTTGATGCTTCTTCAGTTGCCTCAGTGTATACGTAGGAGAATTATAGCCAGTTTGGGAACCTGTTCCCTGGTTATTATTATTTTGGATTAGCGTGGTGTTCATAACTATGCAAGGTTATCTCCCTGTTTACTTATTTTAAAAATGCACATCTATGAGAAAGAAGTATGTGATACAACGTTGCCATCTACTGGTCTAGTTGCATTTGGACGACAGCAAAATAATCAGAACTGAAGGGCTTTTCATGTTGTTTGACATTGTATATAAAAATGCACCATATTCAGTAGCTGTTTGATTTCCAAACTGACAATTCAGCAGGATTGATTAGTAGTGTGCATACTGGCTTGATTATTAATTTTATTACAAAGTATTACGATAAAAAGATAATTTATCTCTAGCATCTGAATTTTTTATTCACTTGTGGGATGGGGACATTGGGTGTTGGGCAGCATTTATTACCCATCCCTAGTTGCCCTTGAGAAGATGTAGTGAGCTGCGAACTGCTGCAGTCCACGTACTTCTGGTTGAAAATTATGTGTAACTTAAATTAATCCAGTTGGTTACTCTAATGGTAAATAAGGGTGAAGGAGAGATATTATGAATGGAAGAGGCTATATGGAGCGGATGGACAGATATAGGATTGAGTTGGGATGGAGACAGTAGATGGGGGATTGACCGGATAAATAGATGTTCAAAGTAAACCACATCTATTTAATTCCTTATCATTTCGTGACACATTTTAAGTTCTTTTTATGTCCTTCTCCATTGCTTGAGATATTCTGGTACTTTACTCACTTATACTGTGATATCTAAAACATAAGATAGTTACACTCGAGACAGACCTGCTCACCCAGCTAGATTTGGGTGTGATGGTTTGGAGTTGATACAATCAACTTTGCATATATTTGCATTGCCTATGTGCCTTCTTACTATTTATGAACCAACCCTGATTCTACTATTGCCTTGGCCAATACCTGTGACCTTTTCAGGACGAAGTGCTGCCAGCACGAATAATTTTGAAAAGTGCATTGACATTGTTATTTTTGATGGCGTCTCGACACGCAGAGATCACTTGGGTCTTGGGCTTCCCAACTGGAAGATAATGAAACAAAACATGTTGGACAATGAAAGGGCTTCAATACGCCAAGAACATCTTTAATTAATTTGTAACTAGGTTCACTCCCTAGAACATCTTTAAACAACCTCAACATATTCTAACACCCTCACCATTCCATGCCCTATTCCAGACATTCTAAGCTCCAAACAAAGTACTAGTCAGCCAACAGGAAAAGCTTATACTCTATAAATGTGCAAAAATATTCATTATAATAAATCGGGTCTCTTGCTAACCGAAAGATGGTTATGACAAACAAACCTGGTAGATACAGTTGATTGAATCAGCTGTAGCTTCAAATAGACTAGAAATTCTTTGCATTTTTCACTTTGAAGAGACATCCATCTGCAACAGATGGTATTTTATATTATACATTGAATCAAATTTGATAATAGGGATTCAGTCCTTTCATTTTCTTTGTTCTGTCAGGTCTCAATCTATAACGTTTTCATAGTATTCCTACCACCAGTTTCTGGTGAATCATAGATTTAACCCAGCTTCCATTGGAAACTTAAGATGGAATCAATGAGATGGATTTTTCTGTTCAAGCCTTCTGTGCACAATAGTCTATTGAGAGTTAGGTGCAGGAACAAGAGATGACAACTCTCACCACCAGGTATTTGCACCTTTTGATTCCTACTAGTTATGTTTCTAGTCATTCATGCTTACTATAAAGCTCACTTAACTACTCTTTAACTCACCTCGCAGGCGTCCTGCCCTTTGTATTGCCTGATTCACTGCTCGCAGACAGCTCAAAAGTTCAGTGTGGTTGTTACAGCGAATCTTGTACCCATTTATCAAATCTCGATTTAAGTCATAAAGTTCCGTGTATCCTTTTTTCATACTCTTCCTAAACAAAGCAAGAAAAAAATTCTGAGATGATAGAGAGCTCTAAGTTGAATTCTTTAATAGGTGTGGGTCTTCAGCATACCATTTGTCTTATTATATCCAAAAGATACTAAATAACACATGTTGGTAAATAATGCTTCATAGCATAACAAATGTTGTAATAGACAGTGTCCTCCTCTTGTATCCTTACCCTGTTGAATTGAAGACTCATTGCGCAATCTTCATCTTTAATTCGTTCCCTCTCAGTCCTTCAAATCTGTGGAACGTTCAGGTCTTCCCTTCCACAAATTTTAGCCTTTTGAACCTCAGCCTAGTCACTTAACTATTGCTTCATGACTAATGTTGATTTCTTCTAAACTTTTCATCATCGATATTGCCCTGCAGTATAAGCCTTGCCTTTTTACTTGAGGGACAGGACCAACAAACAGGCAGGTCATGCTGGATTTACCAATGAGTAAATCCTCAGGACTTCCACCATAAAGTTTAAAGTATGTAAAGAAAATGCTGATATTCTAATGATGATCTTCCAAAGCTTTCACAAATTCAGAATTTTTCCATTAGATTGGAAAATTGCAAATACAGCTCCATTTTTAAGGGAAGTGAGAGAAGGAAATTATAGAGCTGATGATCTAACATCTGAGTAGGTTATGAAAATTTATAATTAAAGGTAGAGTAATAGCATTTAGAGAAATTTGGGCAGATTAAAGAGCCAACATGGATTTATAATAGGAAAATTATAGACCACAAACCTAATCATTTTTTTGAGGAAATAATTAAAGTAGTAAACATGGAAATATTTATGGGTGTAACTTCTAAGAACTAACAGAAGGCATTCTGGAAGGCTAAGTATAAGCGACTGCTTAGCCCAAATTAAACTAATTAAATTGACGGTAAAAGCTTTGACCTGGCTGGGGATAATGGACATCATCTTGAACAGGAAGAACGAGAATAGTGGTGACTCTATGTGCTGTGGGTTGAACTATTCAACATTATAAATTAGATAACGCAACAAAACAGCCATATACCAAATATAAACCAAAGAACTGCGGATGCTGTAAATCAGGAACAAAAACAGAAGTTGCAGGAAAAGCTCAGCAAGTCTGGCAGCATCTGTGAAGAAAAAATTCAGACTTAACATTTCGGGACTGGTGACCCTTCCTCAGAACTGATGGTAGCTGGGAAAACGTCGGTTTATAAGCAGAAAATAGAGAGGGGGATGTGGTAGAGGGTAAACGATAAGATACAGCTTGAAGAGAGAGAACAGCAGTTGGATAGACAAAAGACATATACCATGACACAAGGATTAACTGATCCAGATAAAGTATAAAGTTACAGAGGGATGGATTGAATGAATAAGCAAACCTGTGACGGACGAATTTCAATAAAGGTAAGATGTCATCATCAATTTTGGATCAAGAAACAATAGATTTGAGAATGTTTTAAAATGGTAACACGTTAGGAACAATGGAGTGTCAGAAAGATTCAAGGAATCCACAAACACACATGTCTAAAATGTTAAGTACTAAAAATAATTCAAGAATACTAATGGTTATTTTGATCTTTGTGTTCACAAAGCTAGATGATAAAGCGAGACAAGGATGCTGGCTCTATTAATGTTAAAACTGAGATCAATGAGATCCAATATACAAACTGACATGAGATTTATCACAGGAAAGGGAACCATGCCAGCAGGATGAGGGGAGGTTGGTCAGTCAGGCAACGATGGCGAACAAGTTAGCCCAATAGCAACATCTTTAACTTAGAAAATGACTGAAGCTTCATGGGTCATATTAAATTTTCCTTTCTTGCAGGAGCTGTTTGTATGTTTCTATTCATGTGCTCTTTTCAGGGTTACTGTACAGCAATCAAAACATCAACCTTGGTTGAATTTTCCCTTTCTCACAAGCCTAATGATATTGAAACCAAATGTAATATGCCCAGTGTTACCCTTGTGGACACCAGATAATTTAGCACTGACAAGGTTTGAACCAGGACCATAAAGTAAACATGGCCAAGCACCAAAGTGACTGGTATATTTACCCACTGAACTAAGGATGATTCAGTAAAGTTATTTCAGACAGTAAATCTGTAACTTAATTTCTGACCTCCAATCATTCACCTGGTCATAGAGAATTTCAAACTAGCTCATATTGCTAGGCAAGAGACAGAATTACTTCAAGTTTTGAATACCATGATCTGCACCTAAAGAAGTATTAGCATATGGTGTCATAATCTGGAGAAAAACTGTTCAGCTACCTTAGTTTATTTTTACCCCTCTGTACCATATTAAATTATAATTTATCACTACCACATCAGTTACTCACATATCTCCCATTAGTCGTGCATCCTCTGCCCGGACCAACAAGCTACGGACTAGGTTGGAATGATCAGCCATCTCAGCAGTGAGCTTTTGATGTACAGAATGGTAGTCATCCATCTGCCAGGACAGAGTAGTACAAATCAGTAGATTGTGCAAACCAATTCTCCCACTGGTTGGTCAAAACAATTATATTTCAGAGACTAAAAGTATGCGAGACTGAGTCAAAATAAAATATCAATAATTGAGTCATTATTATTTCTCCTAATCTAGCTTTTCCATCTCCCAGATGGGTAATAAAGTATTCAAGGCAAACCCACATCATAGTCTTGAACATGGGAGTTTCTCTGTGCTTTGTATGTATAAAAGGAAAATATATTCATAACCAGTTTCTGAACTGACAGTGCCAGGGACCCAGGTTCAATTCCACATTTGGGTGACTGTCTGTGTGGAGCTTGCACATTCTCCCTCTGTCTGTGTGGGTTTCCTCGGTGTTCTGGTTTCCTCCCACAGTCCAAAGATGTGCAGGTTAGGTGGATTGACCATGCTAAATTGCTCATAGTATCCAGGGATGTGTAGGTTAGGTGGATTAGCCATGGGAAATGCAGGGTTACAGGGATAAGTTGAGTCTGGGTGGGATGCTCATTGGAGGTGGGAAAATTGTGACAATCCTGAGAGATTGGATAAAATGTCACTTAGAAAGGCATGGACTAGTCAGGGATAGTCAGCATAGCTTTGTTAAGGGAAGGTCATGCCTTAAAAATTTGAAATCTTTGAGGAATTGACAAGGAAGATCAAGGAGGCTACTGCAATGGATGTTGTCTACATGCGTTTTAGTAAGGTATTTGACAAGGTCCCACATGTCAGATTGGTCAAAAAAGCAAGCGCATGGGATATAGGGTAATTTGTCAAATTGGATCTAAAGTTGGCTTAGTAACAGGAAACAAAGAGCTGCTCTTACAAATGGAAAGCTGTTTCAATTGGTGTTCCACAGGGTTTGGTGTTGGGACCCCGTTGATTGTTTTATACATTAGTGATTTGACTAGAATGTGGTGGTGGGGAGCACAGTTAGGAAATTTGCAGATAATATAAAAATTGGCCATGTAGTGGATAGTGTAGAAGATTGCTGTAAGCTCCAAAATGATACAAATGGGTTGGTGAAGTGGATGTGAATACACTGAGAGGGGTAGATGAAGTGAGAGATCTTGGCATGCAAGTGCACAAATCCCAAAAGATAACAGTACAGATAGACAAGATTGTAAAGAAATCATATGGAATGCTGTCCATCATTGGCAAAGGTATAGAATACAAAAGTAAGGAAATGATTATGAAACTGTACAAGAAACTGGTGAGGCTACAACTGGAGTAGCTTGTGCAGTTCTAGTCACCACATTACAGGAAGGATGGAGAGGTGCAACAAAGATTTACTAGAATGTTGCCAGGGCTGGAGAACCGTAGCTACGAGGAGAGATTAGAGGGGTTGGGGTTGTTTTCCTTGGATTGGAGAAGGCCCAGGGTGACATGTTTGAGGTACACAACATTGTGAGAAGTCGAGATAAAGTAGCCAGAAGGAACCTGTTTCCCTTGGCTCAGAATTCAAATACCAGTGGTCATAGATTCAAGCTAAGTGGCAGAAGGATTAGAGGGGAAGTGAGGACAACTTTTCTTATACAGAGGGTGGTGGGTGGGATCAGAGAGGGCATCTGGGGGTCTTTTGGATCAACATGGACAAGATGGTCTGAAAGGCCCCATCTGTGTTTATCATTTCTATGGTTCTAAAATAATGTAGAAATATGTGTACAGCATTCTAGTTTGAAATTTATAATCTGTTGTACCCCTCATTGTAACCAATAGGTTTCACACAGGCAAGTAAAAGTGAGGAATGGAGAGCTACTTGATCCAAAATTCAATCAATTACTCATTTTTTCAAATTTTCATGCCATGTTGATGAATGCAGGTGACATGCCTTAGTTCACCTATAGTAACGAAAGGACATTCATTACAACCACATAAACAAACTGGAATTATAGCAGAATGTTGCTGCAACTTAATCATAAGCAGACCATACTGCATACTATAACATACTATACTTTAAAGCTAAATATGAGTATTTCAATAAGGCTTTATTATATTAAATTTTACTTAGTCTATATTTCAACCTCACTTCAAATCATGGCCGTCCCATCGACTTGGACCACGCACTTTATTTTAGAAAGGCCTCTAAGTATATTTAAAGGAAATCAACATTCATATAAAGCAACAGATGTTGTGCCCCTGAAAGTTCCTACCACATATTTATTACATTTAACTTTTCTTTCAGGATAAATAATAAATAAGTGCCACTGTAACTGTAATTTTCAGAAACTGCTAGTTCATCTTCAAAACAATCTGTCTCAAGTAACTGTTGTGAAAAGTGGAGGAAGGTAACAACTGAATTAGGGGATTGGCAGACTAATAATTCAGCTGATCTGTTTGGTGCATTCTTAAAAACTTCAGTTTAAATGAAAAAAAACATTTTTCCTCCTGAAATATTAACAAAGTGATCCGTGAGTTCAAATGCTACCGATATGTTGGTTGGACGTTATTGGATAGGCATTGCACCTACCTGAACAAGTATTTGACGTAGCTCTTCAAAGTAAGCTGGGAAGTCTGCTTCTACTTGTAGATCTTCAATGGCCAAGAAAGATGCCATGGACTGGATAAGTTCACCAGCAAGGTCAATATCCTCTGTTCTGACGGTGACCTGTTCATTGGAAATAAATGCCAAATCATCAAAAGCAGGCATCTTCCAAAATCAGGAAGAAAGGAATAAAGACATGCCATTTGATGTGATCCTCCATGCAATGACAGCACTGTCCAAACCTCTGCCAGGAAGATCAGAAGCTTTGTCCCTGCAGCAGTTAAAAAACATAAATCAATAAAAATCAATTCCAATATTCCTTAAAAGTTAAAATGCAACGATAAGAAAGTTTACCCCTCCGAAAGAAAGCTGCAGCCTCAACTATTATACTCTCCCTGATTAGATGAACAACCACAAATAAATTCAACAAGAGGACAAATTCCACTAAAGTCAAAGATACAGGGAGGATCTTGAGTTAACAATAAAAATTATAATGTTCAGCCTTGACCATATGTATCAATCCCATCTTTGAAGTGCGAACAGAATGAAACTGCAGACTTTCACAGCACAGGATTCCTTCTTCACAATGTAGTTACTCTGTTTGCCTTCACACTAGCTCTTAACCAGGTACTGACCCAGTTCTTAAACAATTTAATTCATTAGACACTAATTACCCTTCAGGAGGTATTTGTTTTACACAGAATACTACAGTATACAAAGAGGCCATTTAGCATATTACGCTGGCTCTGTGAAAGAGCAACGCAGTCAGTCTCATTACCTGGCTTTCTCCCTGTATTCCTGCAATTCCTTTAGTTATTTATCTTCCTCCCTTTTGAAAGCTGTTATTGAATCTGTCTTCACATTACAGGTAGTTATCCTATAACACAATAGTTGCACTCTTGTGCGACTTCATGCTATAAAAAATTGCCATAGAAAATCGTTATATTGCACTGTAGAAAGTTTGTGTTATCCAAACAGTGCCCACAATTCATCAATCGCGTTACAGCCAATTCGCATTAATGAAACACTCGTTATAGCAGAAATACCTGTATTTGCATTATAGTTAACCCAGCAATACTAGGAGAAAATCTGTGACAACTGTCTTGCATACTTCCTTTAACCCTCTGCTTCATATCTATGTATCTACTCCTCTGCACAACAAAATAAATCTCCAGTTCTGCAAGGGAGACAAGGACAAACTGTGGGAATGCAACAGTTGTAGGGGATTCAATTGTAAGAGGAACTGATAGTCACTTCTGTGGCCGCAAACAAGACTCTAGAATGCTATGTTGCTTCTCTCGGGTTACAGTCAAGGATGTCCCAGAGTAGCTCAAGAACATTCTGGAGGGTAAGTGTGAACAGCCAGTGGTTGCAGTACCAGTGACTTAAGGTTAAAAAAAAACAGATGGAGGTCCTAAAAACAGAATTTGGGGAGTTAGGAAGTAAGTTGAAAAGTAGGTCATATTAAAAGGTAGTGATCTCATGTTTATTGCCAGTGCCACATGCTTGTCATAGCAGAAATAGCAAGATTTATCAATTGAGTAAATGGCTAGAAAGATGGTGCCAGGTGGAGGGCTTCAGATTCTTGGGACATTGGGACTGGTTCTAGGGGAGGTATGGTACAGACTAGGAACTGGTACAAACTGGACAGGTCACACCTGGGCAGGACTGGGACTGAAGTCCTAGGACAAGTATTTGTTTGTGTGGTTGGGCCAGGTTTAAACTAAATTGGCGATGCAAAGTGGGAACCTAAGCAGGGTGACAAGGCAAAGAGAAATAAGGACAGCAATAAAATGGAAAACGGTAGACAGGTTAAGCAAGGGCATCAGGAAAACAGGACCACAGTACAAGAAGTTAGGATGATTAAAAATGGCAAAAAGACAATTTTGCATCTTAATGCACGAAGCATTTAGAATAAGTAGATGAGCTGACAGTGCAAATCCATGTAAACGGATATGATCTCGTAGCCATTATGCAAACATAGATACAAGATGATCAGGACTGGGAACTCGACATTCAGGGATATTTAACCTTTAGGAAAGAGAGGAGGAAAAGAAAAGGTGATGGGATAACACTGATGAGATGAAATGAGGACAATTGAGAGTGATGACCTAGGCTTGGATAATGTAGAGTCCGTTTGGGTGGAGTTAAATTATAGCAAGGGAAAGACGACGTGGGTAGGAGTAATGTATAGACCTTCAAACAGTAGCCACAATGTAGGAAATGGTGTAAGTCAACAGCTAATCGGGGCATGTAAAAAGAATATGGCGATAATTATAGGTGACTTTAATTTTCATGCTGATTGGGTCAATCAAGTTTGAAAGGGTAGGTATGACACAAATTCATAGAGTGCATTAGGGTTAGTTTCCTAGAGCAATATGTCATGGAAGCACGTCAACCAGGGAACAGGCTATCTTGGATCTGGTAATGGGTAATGATGCAGGTTTAATAAATGGCCTGAGAATAAAAGATCTTCTTGGAAGTAGTGATCATAACATGATGAATGTAAAATTCAGTACGAGAGTGAGTAGCTGGGTTGGAAAGAACTAATTAACTTAAATAAAGGGAATTACAATGAAATGAGGATACAGTTAGCTAAAGTGGACTGAGCAGATACATAAGCAGGAATGACAGTAAACAAGTAGTGGCAGATATTTAAGGAGGTAATTCATGACTCAGCAAAAACATATCCCAGTAAGGAGAAAAGATTCCAAGACAGGGATAAAGCAACTATGACTAACTAGAGAAGTTAAGGAGAAAATAAAGTTGCACGAAAAAGCATAAGGAAGCAAAAGTCAGTGTTAGCCCTAATCACTGGGATAAATTCAGAAGCCATCAAAGGAAGACTAAAAGGATAATAAAGACATAAAATAAATTATGAAGGCAAACTAATGAAGAGCAGTGACAATAAGAGCTTCTTTAAATATATAAAAATATATTTTTAAAAGGAAGAGTAACGTCAAAGTGAACGTAGGCCCCTTAGAAAAATGAATCTGGAGAGATGGTTTTGGGGAACAACGAAATGGTAGAGGAGTTAAACAGTTATTTTGCACCAGTCTTTACAACTGAAGATACTTCAACCATCCCATCAATACTAAAGAATATTGAGTCATAGAGATACACAGCACAGAAACAGACCCTTCGGTCCAACTCGTTCGTGTCGACCAAATATCCTAAATAAATCTAGTCCCATTTGCCAGCATTAAGCCTACATCCCTCTAAACCCTTCCTATTCAAGTACCCATCTAGATGCCAAAAATATGTTGTAATAGTAGCAGCCTCCACCACTTCCTCTGGCAGCTCATTCCATACACGCACCACACTCTGCATGAAAAAGTTGTCCTTACAAATGTGTTTCTCAAATACCTGTTGACTACTGGGGGGTCTAAAGTACAATCCCAATAAGGTGATCATCCCTTTCTTATTTCTCAGTTCCACCCAAATAACTTCCCTGGACGTATTCCCAGGAATATCCTCCGTAAATACAGACGAATCCTTGGATTCTAGAGAAATACTGGAGAATTATTAAACTGCTAATGTGATACCTCGATTCAAAAAGGGAGCGAGGCACAGCAGGTAACTACAGACTGATTAGCCTAACATCTATCGTTGGAAAAATGTTGGAATCAATTATTAAGGGAGTACTGGCAGCACATCTGGCAAAATCATAATCTATTCAAGCAGAGTCAGCATGGCTTCATGAAAATGAAATCATGCATTCAAGATTTTTGAGGAAATCTCAACCAGAGTGGATAGAAGGGAACCAGTAAATGTGATGTATTTGGACTTTCAGAGGCAACATCCTTAACAAAAAGTTAAGTCATAAGACAACGCTCCATGGTGTTGGAGGTAGTATACTGGCATGGATAGGGAATTGGCTAATGGACATATAACAGTCAGATGGGATAAGGGGTTCTTTTCTAGGTTGGCAACAATTAATTGGGGGGTGGGGGGGCAACACAGGGATCAGTGCTGGGATCACAAGTATTTACATAAATATATAATATATCAATGCCATGGAAGCAAGAAGCAAATGTATTGTAGCCAAATTTGCAGACAACACAAAAATAGGAGGAAAGGCAGGTTATGGGTGAGATGCAAATAGTATATTGAGAGGTTAAGTAAGTGAGCAAAAAGTTGGCAGTGGAGTATAATGTAGGAAAATGTGACGTTCTTTTTGTAAGGGAGGACAAAAGAACAGAATACTATTTAAATGGAGAAAAACTGCAGAAAGCTGCGACACAAAGGCACTTGGGGGTACTTGTGCATGAAACACAGTAAGCAAGTACACATGCAGTAGGTGATCAGGACGACAAATGGAATGTTGGCCCGTATTTCAAGGGGATTGGAGTGTAAGAATGGGAAGGTCTTACTGCAACTGTACAAGGTGCTGGTCAGACTACATTTGGAGTATTGTAAGCAGTGTTGATCCTCTTATTTAAGATTTTTTTTTGGAAGTTGTTCAGAGAAGGTTCACTAGGATGATTCCCATGTTGAGGGATTATTTAATGACCAAATGCTAATCAGGTTGGAATTCTACTCACTGGAATTTAGAAGAATGAGAGGTGATCTCATTGAAACGTAGATTCATAAGGGGCTTGAAGAGTCAATGCTGAGAGGATATTTCCCCTCATGGAAGAGTCTAGGACTAGAGGGCACAGTCTCAGAATAAACAGTTACAAAGTTAATACTGAGATGAGGAGGAATTTCTTCTCTGAGGGTTGAGTGTCTTTTGAACTCCTTGCCAGAGACAGCTGTGGGGGCAGAGTCCGTGCAAATATGAAATAGATAATTATTCATCAGTAGGGGAATCGTGTTGCTAAGAAAATGCAGGAAAGTGGAAGAGGAATGTCAGATCAGCCATGATCCGATTGAATAGTGGAGCAGGCTCGAGGGATTGAACAGCCTGCTCCTGTTCTTGTTTCTTATGGTCTTAAGAGTTTTTAAACAATGTTCATCTTGTTTAGTCAACTCTGATCACCACTTGAACGTACTGACTGTTCACAAAAACCTTGCATGCTTGCAGACTTGTGACTCCTTAAATATCTCAATCAGTTAAAAGCAACACATGGTTGAGATAATCAAACTGGAAGGTCTCCAGATTAAGCTCAGCAGCATTTGCT